AACCTAAGAACATGGTAGCCCATGTTCGGTGTCTTTATATAGAGATTACTTAGTATAAATATTAAGTAAATATTTTAGAAGTCCATGGGGTATATTGTGTAAGGATATAGATTTAAATATTTATCGAACTAAACCACAAGTAATATCTGTTGTTTTGTCTGTGGAAAATTCACGCACACATCATAAAACAAACATCGAAAAACCAGCAGAAATAAAAACACCACAGAGAAGTCACAATCCTGCTATTGGCATATGTCTATTAAAAGAACCAATAAGAACATTATTAATACATAAATTAAAAATAGTAATATATACATTTTTAGAAATGTATATAATATAACTTGACTTCACCTTAATAATAAATAAACTCTATTATGAAATAAAAACTTACTGAGCACCACTGGCCAATACAATAACAAAGCAGGCGACTGCACATAAGACAAAAATCAGTGACTTTATTTACAGCATAAACATTTTAGCTTCTATTAATTTTAAATAAAGTGTATTCATCACAATTATTAACACAATTATTTTTATACTTCTAACCAAGATGCATAAAGCTTGCAATATTTAATATAACTACTGCTACTTTAGTTGCTATAACTGCATCAATTATAGCAAATATTTAGCATTGCCAACTTAGCTTTTTATTAAGATTAGTGACTAGTTTACTAGAGTGCAACTCTAGCAAAATAGAAGTAAAGTATAAACTAAAAAAAATAACAGATACTGTCAGCAATGAGAGGGGTAATACAATAAAATATGTATGATACTTTATTGACAATAAAATAACGATTATATTGAGCTTGACAATGGTGACGATATAATTAAGCATTATAGGTCTGTATATATCTCATTATAGTGGATCCGATTCTAAGCGCAACAGAAAGTGAATGAAATTGTTCATCAGCCTTCCAAAAATGAAGCAGAAGACTCATTCAAAATTCTGAATTTTTATTTGCAAACGAATAATACTACAACTGATTATCACTATGAAAGTTTAAATTAAGTAGAATCTCTTTTTACTGAAAATAAGAAAAAAATGAAATCCTAAACCCTAACTCCTGAATATATCACTTCACTATCACTTCTGTGCTGTATTTGATTTCAAATAAATAAATAAATATATATATATATAGAGAATTTTATATATATATATATATATATATATATCTCTAACACGAAGTCTCTATAAGGTGAACATTTTCTTTGCAAAATGATACTTCGAGTTATGGAAGTTTGACTGTATTCCAAACTAAAACTCCATTGATTTCATATATTTTTTAAAGCTCTTAAAAACCTCGAATTGAGTCAACCACATATTAGAGCAATAAAAAAAAGTTATTTAATTTGTGATTTTTGTTTTAATTATTTTAATTATGAAAAAAGTTATAATACATATAATAATTAAAGCGATTTAAAGTTAACTTGTAAAGCTATAATTAATTATTTAAAAAATAAAGATAAGTTAAAGATAAAACTTTCAGAAAATGATATTTGTTTGGTGGTGATTATTCTGCCTTGCTGCTCGACATATATTGATCCAATTCCTTATCCAAATCCATCTTGTTGGGAATATTCTTTTTGTTTCCTGTGAAATGAAAATAAAACAACATATTAGTTTCTGAGTAATATGAACCACCGAAACATCTCAGCAGGTAACTCTTCGGATTGAATGTCCATTATATGTAATACAATTAGCTTTTACCTGCATTATTACGACCACCTCTGCCAATTTTGCCTCTACTACGGCTGCGACTACGACGATTCTGTTGTTGCTGTTGTTGTCCGCCGAATTTTCTAACATTGCCTTTTTGTACTCTACCTAACTGACGTCCTCCGCGCCTTGCATTAAATGACCCTTGTTGCTGACCCACAAAACCCTTGCGTCCACGTGAACGGGAACGACCGCGACGACCACCACCAACAGCATTATTATTGTCTCGTGCTAAAGATCTAAGAATGAAAAAAAAAACAAAGAGAGTTTTAATCAGGTCACTTTAAATTTAAATTCAATTTTTATAAGTAAAACTTTACCTTCCTCTGGGACGTCCAATACGTACACCACCTGCAGTCATTGCATCGATATTTGCTATAGAATTGCGGCGTCTGTCTAGACGAGTATTTAAAATATTAACTCGGTTAGATTTATTTTTATTAAGGAGCCGTTTCATAGGTTTTCTAGCCGGCATTGACAAACCCAAGCGATCATGAATTGATACACGCTTTTCAGTGCGAGGTGGTGGTAATGCTTGCGCACGAACTCGAGAACGGCTACGTGAACGGCCGCGGACATTAGGTTGGGGTGTGCGACCACGGACAGTGGGTTGGGGTGTGCGACCACGGACGGTGGGTTGGGGTGTGCGTGCTCGTGAACGACTACGTGAGCGTCCACGTTGTGCAATGTTATTATCCTTGCGAGTTGCTATACGGCCACGTGAACGATCGAAATTTCTTTTAGCGATACGTTCTGCAGCACCACCAACCAAAGGACGACGACTGCCCAAACGTTGGGCAACGTTGGCTCCTACATTTGAGCGACGCAAGGGTCTGCGGAGATTATTCATTATTTGGTCCGCTCGCATTCTATTTATTGGAAGAATTGAGAATAGAGTTATGGCTTTTTCGTAACATAAACAACAGTGTCATTTATAAAGTAAGCATTGATTGATTATAATTTGTGGTATTATATCGATTATGGGTTGAGTTACAATATTTTAACTTTCTTATTTCATAATCCAGTTTATATTATTTGGGATTTTAATATTGTTCCATTAATTTTATATATATAAGTATATATCTATATATACATATATATTTAATTATGTATAAATTAGTTCTTACGTTGCGATCTTTGCCATGCTATTAGTGGTAATTTGTTTTCCATTAGCTCCAACACGTATGCTTTTAATAGTACCACGCTTCACAATAGTTCCAACACCAGCAACCGTACGCATGCTTCTCTGTAATATTGATG